TCGGTTAATGGCCCCAATTTGCTTTCTTGGAGGCGTGCTTGCTAACTATGTTGTTGGTGGTCAAACGCTTTTGGTCCCCAGCGGAGTCGCCAATTGTTGACGGTGATTTCTCGTCAACAAAAACAAGCCGGGTTACCTCCGGGTTTCCCGTTGGATTACCGGCCTTAATGATGAAATTGTGTGAGAATATGTTGGTGGGACGTATTGTGTTTAAATAAAAGGACATTCACAAATTAATAACACAAGGGATTTTTGTAACACCCTGAAGAATTAATTGAGATTAATTAAGGTAATTGAGGTTATTAGTGTGCCTAATCTGAATTATTAATTGAGTTTAATTAATAAATGTTTCTGACATGTGTGAGTTTAAATAGTTCCAAGGTATTTAAATTATTCTTAATAATTTATTTTAAACCAAAAGTGTGTATGGGCGCATTTCTGGACTGTTCTTTTAAAATATTGACACATGTCATTTCCTTTTCCTTTTTCTTTTCTTTTTCTTTTTTTTTTCTTTTTCCTTTCCTTTCTCTTTCCTTTCCCGTGCACTATCACTCTCCCGCTTACACACACACACACACTCTCTCTCATTTGTGTCCCAAATCAAACGGATCTTGAACCAAGAAAAGATTTAAAGAAGTTTTCAACATCAAGAGAAGGATTCGAGGTAAGATTACTGAAAGAACCTCTCTTGAATCTCAAGTTTTTGAATTTCAAAACTTATTTTTGGTTCAAACCGGATTTTGATGGTTTTTGAGTAAAACTAGAGTAGAAATTGGAGATCTTGGGTTCTTTGGACTTGTTTTAGGACCTAGAACCCAGATCTAGTGGTTTCCCTTTGAAATACTTCGATTTGGGACTGGATTTGCAGGTTTTGAACTGATTTCTGCGCGCTTCTCTCGCACAGCTGATTCCACCGGTCGATCGGAGCGGTCGACCGGATCACATGGAAATCGGTCGACCTATGTGGTTGACCGGATTGCAGGCTGACCGATCGACCTGTCCGGTCGACCGGTGTGCACACTACCAGTCGACCAGTAGTGTTGCACTGCTCTGTCACCGGTCGACTGGTTGACACGGGGTTTGACCTTGTTTGGTATGGAATTATTGTTTTGACCCCTGTTTTCGGGGAGAACCCAAATTAGCTTCATTTGGGGACTTGAGATAAATGGATTAGCATTGTTAATCCTTATTTTGAGATTGAAAACCCTTGGAATGATATTTTGAAACATGAAAATGGATTAGGGCACACTAATAGGAAATCTTGGTTGGAAATTGAGATTTGGATTACTTTAGGAATGAGAATTAATCCTAAAGTGTTATTTTGAATCAGTGATCGCTGAGGATTCAGACTGAAGGGTCTTGAGGAAGCGAAAGCCGGAAAAGGCAACGCTAGTCCCAGGTTTGATAGTGTGAGGTAGGATTTCTATCCCTTTTCCTTGTGAGCCTGTTTTCAAAAAGGATTTTGGCCTTGAAAATGTTTTAAAGAAAGGGATTGATTTGTGAAAGAAAACGCTTTGAAAACCATGGCTTGTTTAGTCATGGAACCTCATGGCTTGTCTAGTCATGGGGCCACGGCTTGAGTAGTTCGTGGGGTCGTATTAACGATTTTAAAAATGTTAATGAATGATTTCTTAAGCAAAGAGATCTTGTGAATTGGTAATAGAGTCTATTGCTGTAAGCCTAGATAGGATGCGGAGAGTGTATCCTCGGGGGCAGAACCCGAAACTCGGTCCGGGTAGGCGAGGCACTTGGTTAGGTAAGTAATTTGTACTAATTACTTGCTGAAGCCTGTAAAACGGTTATTTACAGTTATATTTCCTTTGAGAAAAAGGATGTGAGGTTCCGGCTGTTCTGTCGGGACTGAATGTCTTATTCTATTTACTTATTTATTTATGTATTCCCTTGCACATTTATTATAACGTTTATTTCAAATTATATCCTACTGGGCCTTTCGCTCACGTTTTATGTTTTAAATGTACTAAACCCCTCCCAGGAGATTCTAGGAGCGGTGCACAGTAGCTGGATATTGCTACGGAGCAGCTGAGTTGTGCTGCTGTTGGAATCAAGTGAGGATCGTGGACATCCTCTTGGACAAATGTAAGGAATTTGAGAAATTCTGTAAACTTATATAATATTTGGATTTACTAGACTGTGGTTGATGTCTGTTGTAATGATTATTTACATGAGCATGTATGTACGATACTGTATGTCCTGTGGGGTGGAGCCCTGTGTGTCAGAGGCTCCGGGATTCTGTAGTAGTTATTTATATTTTAACGCAGACAAGAGTGGGGCCCGGTTGGGAATCTGCCTTATTAATCCCTAATCGAGCTCCACGTCACCCACCCCGCTTGGGGGGGCGTGACAATTTTATAGTGGTTCACTCTATAAAATCAGAGCTACATCCTCTGTTGTTGTATATTTCTTTTGAGAGGATTACAATTTACATTAATTGTGCTATGTTCTCTTGGATCTCAACCCCTTTTCTGTATGGGGTCTTTCCCTTTTTATACTGGGAACTTCCTTCACTGGGTTGATTTCCTTCGTAGGTAGAAGCACTCAAGTGCTCTTCCTTTTTAGGCCCAGTCGTAGCCCACTAATCACTTGGAGTACTGTTCACTCAGCCAATTAGTCTTCTATTACGGCTCTGTGCGTCCCTGTAACCCTTTTCTGTCCCCTGTGGGGCGGTTTAAGGGTTCGCAATAAATGCATGCCTTACAGTCATCCCCCACTTTTATACGCAATCTGCCACGTTAGACCTTCCCCTAGAGAGCATTCCCCTCGTCGCCAGTGTTGCTTAACCCAACTGTCCTTCTTGGTTGTTGGTTCCACCGTCGAGGGATTCCTATGTCCTAAGGTCGACGGTATGAACTGTCGACGCCAGGAGGAATCGTCGCCCTAAGTTGGACCTTTCACTTAGGTTCTTTATAACGGAACCGGAGGGAGCCCCAGGCGTCGAGGGTTGTTGCTTTGCGGGGAGTAGTTAAGGCTACGTGTCATATTATCGTTCTTCCACGTGTCCTTCACATTTTCCCACACAACAATATCCATTATTATTAAATTATTAACATATTAATTTTTATTTACTAAATAATTTTTAATTACTTAATATATTAATTTAAGATTATTAATTACATGTACTCAAAATAAATATAAATATAACCAAACACGATTTCACTTTTTTATCATATTCAAATCATTCTTTTAAAAGATCACCAAACGTAATTTCTGAATCAGTTTCAAAATAATTTTTAAAACAAACTCATTTTCATTTTTATACCGAAACTAAAATTATTTTGAAACATTACAAGCCCCTTTAGAGATAGGGGCGAGTACTACATGAGCTCGTCAGTCAAGTACGAAACGAGCCTTGTCTACGAAGCAGAGCGACCTCGTCTTGCTTGCTTCTGGCGAAGGCTCGAAACATTACCGTTTTAGTCCCCCCCTACCAATACAGTAGATTCATGAGCACTTTACCAGATTATCCTCGTGCAAAAGAAAAAAAATAAAAGAAAAAAAATTAAAGTTTAGGCTAGTGCTTGGTTACTGTCCGTACACTGACAGGTTACTAATCTTCAAAATTACTCAGAACCGACTGCCAGAGAACCGACACTAACAGTTGAAAACCAACCAAAACTCGTCCCCCATAGTCCGGTCATTGCTTCCCAATTCTTGAAACTGATGGTGCTTGGTCGGAAACAACCGACAACACCAAATAATAATTCTTAAAAAACGAGAGGATTTTTATTGTTCTTCGGTAAACACCATATTCTAAATTATATAAAAGTTGAAACCAATATAGGAAGAATAATAAGCTGAAAGGCAGACGATCCAGGTGGTTTCCAAGTATCAAAATGGATATTGGGAAAATGGACACGTAACTAATGATTGATGAGGCAACCCCCTCATTTTGACAAGTTCACCTACTGGCTAGTCCGAATGCTCCTAGAATTTATCAATATTTGACAATTTAGATCCCAACAAACCCTAAATTTAAAAATTCATTGCGCTTTGGAACTCTAATAACTAATTAATGTCAATTAATTAATCTATTGCCCCAATTATTTTTTTTTCCAGCATGAATCCAAAAATTTTTATCGGTTCACAAATTAGGCTCAAAACTTTTTAATTTTTACATGTTTTATAGCGTATTAAAATACAAAGTTAGGTCACCTGTGACGAATGGAAATCTTAAAACCATATCAAGCATGTGCAAGTTAAGAAATCAGAAGCATAAATAACTGCTGATCAATGGATCGCCAGAAATGTGGAAGTAAAATAAAACTCTCATGACGGCATAGAGTCATGACTCTCATGAACTATGTGAATCGCATCCTTTCTGCTAGGTAATTTTAATAGAGTAATCGGCATGGTTAGTTCCTAAATTTTGTGTATAGTGACAATTAGTCTCTAAACTTTTCATTTTAACTTATCAGTCTTTGAATTTTTTTTAATTTTTATTTTTGACAATTTTGATCCCCGACACTAAATTGATGAACAATTTCTAAAATTTAACATAAATAATCACATTCTTAATCCATAGTACCTAAAAATTTTACATACATACTTGCTATTCCAAAATATTATAGTTTTCAACAAGTTTTAATATTAATAAAAAGAAAATTTGCATATAATATGACTCTTTTCTATAAAATTTTAAGTTATAACGTAATGAAAACATAATTATATTCGTTAAAATTCAAAACATTGTTCATTAATTTTACTGTTAGAGACTAAAACTGTCAAAAAAAAACAAAAAGTTCAAAGACTAATATACCAAAATTAAAAATTTAAAGATTAAAATGTCACTATGCTCAAAGTTCATAGACTAACAATGCCAATTATCCATTTAAATATTCTATCACATCACATGTACAGTGATAGCATCTCAAAGCAGAAGTAATCTATAGTACTTTTTTTTTTTTTTTAATCTAGAGAGATAAAGAGTATGGGTGTATCTTGTTAGAGTACAGAACATGACAGAACTTGGAAAATCTTTCAAATATTCAACAATGGTACCTCTTGTTTCTATTTAGATTAAACCACTTGAACGAACAAAATATATATCTCCAGAGTCGCTGTACACTAGTTGCCTCATTTAGTTGAATATGAAACAAAACCTCCGCGCCAAAAAGTTGGCTGCCAACTGGAGTCTCGGACCCATAAAAAACACATCACTAAGCAGCAATTTCAAGTAGACATGTCAAAGGAGGGACGTTGGAAACATGGGTGTGATGGGCCGAATACTCAGATTTTGGTTCTTTCTTCGAAGGGCAAGACACCGATAACTTTTCCGCATATGATTGATTAATGTCTCCCTAACAAAAATATCTCGGCTTCAAAAACGTAGGAGAAACTTATCTGTCATCTTCATCTTCTTCAGTCGAGCTCACAGTCCCCCTTCTTCTTGAAAGGGCCTTGAATAGTGTAAAAGCCAAAATCAGAGCAATTTGCAAATTCTCAGAGCTACTTGTTTTTACACAAATCTGCCCCATCTTCCGACTATTTATATTGGCATTAACTGACAATCTCATGTTTCGGTTAAGCCGGAATTCAGACTGTAAATTCCCACCCAACACCATTTCCTTGTTAAAGGAGAGGAGAGTCATTGCCAGGCTAACCACGTCATTTCTAACAGGGTAGTCTCTTCCCCTTAAAGTAGCCTCAAAGCTCCCACCATACGCCACTTGCCCAGAACCTCCCATTCTACCAGCATTGACCACGAATTTCAATCTTTTCCCAACTGAAATGGTATCTCCAATCTTGGCACCAACGTAATATTTATTGCCAAAGGATGTCAAAGAAACACCATAATCAGCAATGTTGTGCCACACTTTTCTCAGCATTGTATCAGTGTGAAGTGTATGCATCAAATCTTTTCCAGTAGACTGAACATCAAGACCAACAGAGTAAGTATCTCTCTCGGGAGCTGAGTAAGAAGCAGTGCACTCAGATTGAATACTAAAATCCTGCTTGTCCTTGCTCATCTGTCCTGTGACTAAGGCAGAGACGTCTCGTTTAATTGCCATAGCTGTTTCAATGCTAATTCCGTCAAAGCCAACATCATGATCCCATCCTTGGGGATCAAGAACTGGTCTCACAAGCCATTGACCACTTGTAACAAGGCAACGATATCTATGCACAGGGCAATTCGAGTCAAAACTAGGAGGAACTGCCATATCTGGTAGCAAGACATCCTCTGGAGGTGCTTGCTGGCCATCAGAATCATCATCACCTGCCAAATTTTTCCCCTTTGAAAGTGTGTTATCCTTTTGCCTGCGGTACTCTTCCTTCAATTGTTTCTTCAAGTAAAGCGTCTCTCTATAGTCCAGCTCATCGAGATATTCTTTTTTCTGCGATTTAGTCAGTCTCTCAAACTGAGTTTTTGTAAGGATACGGATTGGAGGCAACTGGTCATACTCATCTTCTTCCTCCACATCTGAGAGTACGCTTTCATCAATTTCATTCTCAGCTCCGTTTGGACTCGCTGCAGGACGCTGCTTTAGAAGAGATGAGAGGAGATGGGGAAGTGAAGGTAGCCGGTTAGCACTCACTGGCCCGATTTCAATGCTCTCTTGCAATTTCAAGATGATATTGACATCACTGAGGACTTTAGTACAGATAGACAATAGCAAAAACTGTGATCTCCAAACCTGTCCATTGGGAAGAATCTTTTCCCCCATGATATTCTTCCTACACTGAGGGTGGTTCTCAACTAAAAGCACGGGATTTTCAAGTTTTGAGTCCAAAACTGCCTGGTGTATATGCTGCTGCACCAAATCTGTGCAGTAGGTCGCATACGACTCATAATTGATGGGATGACCGTCAGTTCCCTCTGGAGGAGCCGAGGAAGAATGAGTCATGACAAGGATGGTGTTGAACCAAATTGCAGGACCAAATACTTCAGTAATAAGTTTCAAAAGGGGGAACTCACTGTAACACTTACTTACAAGGTCTAGCCGGTCGAAATATAAAACTATATCAGGAGGAGATTTTCTTATGAATCTCTTCACAGAAAGCAAGACCTTCTTATTTCTTTTAACATTACTTGCAGATGGAGGCAAAAGACCAGGGGTATCGATGATGCTTATTCTAACTCCTTTAATAGTTCCCACAACCTCTTGAATGCCATCTGTGGCAGGTCGAAATGCATCTGTCATGGTTTTAGTTTGATCAAATATAGAATTTATTGTAGCACTCTTGCCAACCCCTGTTTTTCCAAGAACAAGTATTCTTATAGAGAAATCCAGTTCAGGCTGGCTGGCCGTCTCTTGCTCAGCAACTACAATTCTGGTTCTATCGCTTCTGAGATTAATTCTTTTTAGATCTGATTCCTCTGCCCGTATCAGAGTTGCCAGGTGAATTCGGTATAAAACCTTTGCCACCAGAAGATTGTTCTCTGGCAGCCCAAGCCGCCGGAGAAGGCACAAGAACTTAACTTGAAGATCCTCAATCTTTACCAGTGGATCCTTCTTTTTTTCCTTGCGCTCATTATGAGATCTGTCAGAATAATCAACTAACTGTCGGGAGGTTTGTAAATTATTTTCCTGATCTCCATCTGAGCATGAGGCATTAGGAACTGGGGTTGCCACCAAACTGGAGGACTCGGTATCACCTAATGAACAAGAAACATTAGGTAATGACATACACAAATGTTAAGCAAGTTTATCTTACAGGTCAGAATTTGTTTGTGGCATTTAAACCACTATTTGAACTTGGAACCAGGATTATAAACATGGTGAAAGCATAAAATAATTATAAACTTTTAAAATTGTGCAAGCATCAAATGATCATAAATTTATTAGATCTATACTAAAATTATCAAACATGGTATTTGATCCACGTATATCATACACAAGAAACAATTAACAGCTTACGCACCAAAATTTACACACACAAGGTGATGATGGCATCAGAGCAAGCAACTTGTTTTCTCTCTTTTGCCATAATTGGCAATTGTGTTAGACATGCAAATTAGAGAACCCAAGCAAGCATTATTACCAGTCTTCCAACATGTAACAAGTTATAGAAGACCACATTTGAATTTAGTAAGAAGTTCAATTCCTTCTATCTAAACTGCCCTTAATAACTCATAAATCCATACAATAACTCATACATATATATGTGCGTGTGTGTGTGTGTGTGTGTGTGTTTTAAATAAGTTATAACTACCCAACATAATACAAACACACAAGCGAAAGTCCAAAAGTCCTTATTGATAAGTCCCGTCAATAATACACTCCATAAACTAACCCCAAAGCCAACTTCCCACAAAAATACTTTAGGCATAAACACTACGATCAAAGTATAACAGGAAAATACTTTACCCCCAGCCTTTCCAGCATACTTTTTTCCAAAGTTTAAATAATACAAACTGAAGAAATAATACAATAAGAATTAGAGAGGCTAATTAGGTCCACATCATTTCTTCTTCGTCTCTAGGCTGTCTACACTACCTCCATTCACCCTACCCTACCCCAAACATAATCAAATGATAGATAAGTTGTGAAATTTTGAATCTCTTTGAATCTCATACATTTGCTTGATGTTCCATATATATTATTTCAGCTAAAGAATCGGTGTTAAAAGCACAACCAAAAGGGCTAAAGAGGTCTGATACCTTGGTCATCAAACTCTTCCTCGTCAAGAGATTCACCATCAAAGAAACTGTCACTTCCCGACAGTGGTCTAGCTGAGACCACCGCCTTTGATACCAGCTGAGGAAAAAACCATTCCCGGAGGGCCTTCATTGTTCTCCGAATAATTCACAACCAAAATGTTTCCTGAACTTTGAAATTCTGATACCAAGAACAGAAGTTCATATAAATTACTTTCTCAATCTTCATAAAACTGCATGAAACAAAAACATAAATGTCTGTACTTCCAACAAGCAGAAAAAAGATCTAGATGGCAATGAACCTTGGTAATTTTCGTTGTAAAGTTTGAATAAAAACGCAATTGGTCACAAGAAAATCCTAAAGCCGAAGTATTTAGCAAATATTATGAACTAATTGTATCATTAATCATATTAATCAGAAAGGGAACATGAATTTTTCTTTAGTTCCGAGCAAATCACCTTGAATTTCACAAATTATAACTCTTTCCCCTAAAAAACATGACTTTTTAGTTCCTCATAAAATAAGCACCTTGAATTTCACTAAATATAATTTCCAATTGGAAGCTTGAATTTCCTAGAAAAACAAGCATCTTGAATTTCACTAAAAAGAATTTTTACTCTCCAAGAATTGACAAAATCCACTTAATTATTAAAACCACAAGAAGTCCTTAATGAAGAAAAATAAAAATAAAGTAATTAATATAAAAGCAAGATTTTACCTAAAAATGAACGAACTCCGTTGCACTAGTTACAAGTTGAAAGGCCAAAAATAATGATCCAAAAACCGAAATTGAATTAGAACAGCTCCGAAACCCTAATACAAAAACAATTCACGAGAATCTGAAAATTCGAATTCAGATGATGAAATTGGAAATATTTAGCTCTGTGTTCTTCGGGATTTGATCTTCGCTCGCAGAAAATGAGGAGCGACGAAGCTTTCGGCCAGGCTAGGGAGGTAAAAATGAAGACAAAGAAGAGAAGAAGAAGAAGAAGAGATAAGACAGACGCAAAACACTTCAAAAAATAAATTAGATTAAATGCAAATATATTTAGGCTTCCTTCGTTTCGCTGATTCGAGTTTAGAATTTAAGTTGAGATGTAATTTTATTTAAGAGATTTTTACTATAGTAAAAAAGTTAGATATAACTATTTGTGAGAACTTTTTACTGTAGTAAAACTCGAATTCTAAACTCGAATCAGCGAAACGAACGAGACCTTAATTATTTTGAATTGTAAAAAAAAAAAAAGAAAAAGAAAAAAGAAAAAAGAAAAGTTTTAGACGGCTGGGCGCTTGCTACCTAGTGCTGGAACTTTAGACGGGCCGCCCGTGACCGCCCGAAAAGTCCGAGGATTTGCCCGAGCCCGAACCCGACCCGCCCGAGATTTTCGGGCCGCCTGCCCGAGCCCGAATTTCACCTTGAACGGGCCGCGGGCTTGTATTCGGCGGCCCGCGCCCGCCCGATATATATTAGTATTACAATTTATATATATATTACAATTTGAAATGAACACACGAACTATATAAAAAAATTATTTCTTTATTAATTTTTAAATTTGTAATTCATGATTGCCTCATTAAAAACCTTACTAAGAAAAACCCAATTGGGATAAAAACTTGGCAAGGAAAAAAGAGTGCAATCATTTTGTGACGAATTACAAATTGTACAAACTTACATTGTTTATTAAATTACAAATACAATGTAAAAAGTAAATACATATTTACAAATTAAAAATTTACAATTTAATTTGAAGCTGAGGGATCGTTTTCAAAATTAAATGTTAATCGATTAAATTCATCGATCCATTCTTGGCTTGCCGGTGAAATTGTATCTTGTAGACGTTGATCGGCCTGATCCCAATCCTTAATGCAAACCAAGGCTTCAACAATATCCCTTTGCAATGCATTCCGGCGTTTCTCAAGTATTCTTCCTGTCGTACTGAAAGCTTGTTCGGATGAAATAGTGGAGACTGGGATCGAAAATATATCCAATGCCAATCGAGTTAGGATTGACCAAGTTAATGCCGGTGCCCTCCACCATTGAACTAAGTCAAACGATTCTGCCGCACTGCCGACTACTAAGCCTTCACTGAGGTACGCCATAAGCTCGTTGAAGCTGCTGCCGCCCCAGCCACTTGTTGATGAAGATCCACTTCCACTCACAGCTTCCGTTTGAGTTGTCTTCTTCTTCTTCTTCTTTAACCCGAAAACATTCAAGAATGAATGCGGGTTTTCATCCTGCTGTTGCGGTTCCTGTACTCTAGAGTTTGTGCTTCTAAACCTAATCTCATATTTACTATAGATCTCATATATTTTTACCTTTATTATTGAAAATTGGTCCGTACAAGTGATGCCTAAAAATTCACTTAAGTTTTCTAAACCACTTTCTAATCCATATAATTTTAATCTAGGATCAAAAATTGTACCTAAACCATATAACAAAGGCAACTTAGACCAGTATTTTTTAAATTTTTTTTCCATAGACTGAACAGGAACTCATAAGATTGGGTCCTCCCTATATTCGTGAAATAAAATACTAATTCTTAAAAGTTCTCCTAAAGCTAAAGGTGATGTTGGGTAGTATGTTCCACTAAGTTTTAAAGTAACTTCATGAAGCCTACCTAAAAATTGATACAAAACTTCGGTAATTTGCCAATTAAATTCATCTATATGTCATACTCCTAATTTTGCACACATATAGTTTGTTATAGCATTCTTATAAGGAATGCATTGTTGAAGCATAATATAAGTTGAATTCCATCTTATAGGCATATCTAACGCTAATGCTCTAGGAGGTATATTTAATGCTTGTAAGAACCTAAACCAATCTTCTTGTCTTTAGTTACTACCTTGAATCCATGCAAGACTATCTCTAATTCTTTTAATGTGATTACCCATTTCTTTTAAACCGGATTTAACTATTAAATTGATTACATGACATGCACAACGTTGGTGGAAAATAGTACCGTCACCGAATAGACTTAAATCATTTTCAAAAAATTCAATTGCTTTTGTATTGGCACTAGCATTATCTAATGTTATAGCCATTACTTTATCTCTTAAACTAAATTCATCAATTACATTTAAAATTGTGTTATATATTAAATCTGCGCTATGTGATCCTAGAACACATTTAAAACCTAATATTCTCTTATCTAAATCAAATCCTTTAAAGTAATGTCCGGTTACAGCTAAATAATCTTTATTGGCAATGGCAGACCAAATATCTGCCGTTAACGCAACGCACCCGCTAGTCGAGTGTAAAAGGTTTATTAATGCATTTTTTTCTTTTTTAAATAATTTTAATAAATCTTTCCTAAGAGTAGTTTTTGAAGTGAACTGTGCATTAAGATTGTGTACAACCTTAATATATCGTTGCCAATTAGGATGCTCTACAAAACTAAGTGGTTGATCTAAAGCAGCTATCATTCGCACAACTTCCATACGATCTTCTTGCGGATCATATTTCCAAGTGGTTAGACCACCGGTTGCGCGATCAAAAGATAATTGTGTTTGGCAGAGTTCGGCCGAATTGGCTAAGCTTTTGAAGACACTTTTCGGAGTGTCTTCTCAAGTGTGTGGTGCAGTGAATAGTGTCACATTGTAATTTAGATAAATAATATTTACACTGAGCTATATGTTTAGTGTTACCTTCATTATCCACCTCGTCAATTATGTCGAAGTGATCCCAAACTGTCGAGGTACGCTTGCATTTTCTCCTGGAGGTTGCAACACTTGCCGACGCAGATGCAGACGCCGTCGTACTTGCTGCCGCTTCTCCACGCCCACTATTGCGACCACGACCTCCAGTACGTCCACCATGGCTTGGATTAGTAGATTGCATTTGCTGCGTAACAAACTCATTAGTGGGAAATTGCCCTTCTTCTACATTGTGTTGGGCATCAACTGGAATACCACTATAACCAAAAGGATCCATTATAAAAAAATAAGATGAATTTGATAGAGACTAGAGAGAGAGCTTTAGAAAAATTGTGAGAGAGATTGAGAGAGATTGAGAGAAATTGAAAGAGATTGAGAGAGATTGAGAGAAATTGAGAGAGATTGAGAGGGATTGAGAGAGTTTGAGTGAGAAAAATGTGTGAGGATCAAAAAAAAGGGATAAAACGGCTAGTTTTTTGAAATTCGGGTTCGGGCAGTCGGGCAAACTCGGGCAGCTCGGGGTTTCGGGCAAATTTCAAAAAACTAGCCGTTTTCGTGCAATTCGGGCAATTCGGGCAACTCGGGCAACTCGGGTTTTCGGGCCGAATTCGGGTAAAAATTCAAAAAAACTAGACGTTTTCAGGTTTGAGGGCAATTCGGGCAAAAAACTAGCCGTTTTCGTGCAATTCGGGCAATTCGGGCAACTCGGGCAACTCGGGTTTTCGGGCCGAATTCGGGTAAAAATTCAAAAAAACTAGACGTTTTCAGGTTTGAGGGCAATTCGGGCAACTCGGGTTTTTGGGTAAAATTCGGGCAAAATTCAAAAAACTAGCCGTTTTCGGGTATTCGGGCAATTCGGGCACCTCGGGCGGGTCGGGCAATTTGGGCAGCGGGAAAAATTCGGGCAAAATTCAAAAAATTCAAAAATTCGGGCTTCAGGTCGGGCAATTCGGGCACACCCAATTTTCGGGCAATTTTCAGGTCGGGCAGTTCCGGCTTGGTCGGAAAAATGCAAAAAAATCCCAGCGGACGGCGGTATACGGTGGTTAGACGGCGGCAGGCAAGGGTGGACATGTAAAATCCGGGCTGCCCGAGCTCGAACCCGAATTTCTTGCTCGGACGGGCGGGAATTGGGCCGGCCCGCCCGAGCCCGAAAAAATTCGGGCTTCGGGCGGCCCGCCGACTCGAAGTTCCAGCACTATTGCTACCTCGTGCTTATTGAAATACATGTTTTGTTCCCTCAACTATTAAAGGTTTTATGATACCTGCTCAACTTTTTAAATTTGGTAATTTAATCTTTTTTTTTTCAGCTGATCTCTTTAACTGAAATATCTTTATAATTAAGTTCCAATCCAAAAGGGTTATATTTTTTTTTGTTTACGATTGTGATCACATGAACGCTCACATGAGCAATTATTGAGAGTAATGACGGTCATGTCACCTAGCGCTGACACGACTCGAATTGTGGATATGAGTTTATTATAAATAAATTTGGGTCAAAATATGGCTGAATTCGTGAAACACGATTAAATAACGTGTCAACCCGTAATAGACCCGTTGTAACAGTTTATTAAACGTGTCATTTTGGGTAACACAAATACACAGCACAATTACAACCCGTTTGTTACCTATGTTTACAAATATATTTTTTTAAAGAAAAACAGGTTGAGAAATAGGTTGATACGACATTTTATCACTCATTTTATAAACAGATTAATAAACGAGCTATTAGAAACAGGTTGACACGTTACTATTATGACTTGTTTAATAAATGAGTTAGTCGTGTCATGTCGTGTCAACTCGCCAATATATAGATTGTGTTTGGATTTTGTATTTTAGCACTAATAATAAATGAGTTGTGTTCTTACCAAATCTTACCGTGTCAACTAAAGGGTCTAACACGATACGGTAACACAAATTACCACCCTTAATATCACATAACACATAACACACAACACATAGGTCATATAAGGTAGGGGTGTTCGGCGGTTAAAAACCGTCAGTTTTGGTCGGTTCGGTGGCCGAACCGACTATGTCAGTTTTTAGAAACCGGGAACCGAAACCAAACCGCAAAATTACAATTCGTTTCGGTTAACTGAATTTCAATTTTCAGTTGGTTTCGGTCGGTTTTCAGTTTTAGCAATCTGGATGGTGAGTATCAGTTAACTATCAGGTTACCCGCATATTTAGTTGCATTTTTTGACCATAAATTGTGAAAAAATGTAAAACATTCCTTGTATGCAAGCATGTAATCACAATAAATGAATACAAAGCACAATATCTAAATTGATAATACCACAAACACAAAATATCCAAATCCAATGTCCAAAATCTAAAG